TATGGCATTTTGAGATCGGAACGATTACTGTAAATACCACTTGATTTGTGCTTTAATGTCTTAACGAGGGAGTTTTACAGTTGACACTAAACGCCTGTACGTAGCTGGACTTACGAACAGAAACAGGGAAAGTTGTGAAAAAATTTTGAAAAATTTCAATGCAAGGTGAGGAAAATATTTGAAGGCCACGGTTTTAGTTTAGGGTTAACTTGCAAAACTCCCTGAAGAAGTCGACGACAGTTAAACTTCGATTACTTAGATTACATTGTTTAAATTGAGCGGTTTCTGTTTAAACCAAAACAGAAACGAGTGCCTTTAAATACTTGGTGTTAAATGAAAGTGAATGATCGCGTCGGTTTTGGAGAAATTATAATGTGGGTTACAATTATTATCCAAAAACTCGGATATTCATTCGACAGTTAATTAAACTTTGCTTGTTTTGTCCAATAACAGTCACGAGAAGCACTTCTAATGTACCTTTTAGTCACATTGGTTTAGCTTAATATCGCCCTGTGAGTTCTCCGAAAAACTCAGTCGTTACCCTTTCAATCAATCATACACAAAACTGTGACCCATCTCGACTTTCACCGTCGCCTCGAGTTTCCCGCACTTGAGGAAGCTCACATTTTATTTCTCAGAGATTTCTCACTGGCCAGTAGGAAGGCCCTCATTATCAGCGCTTCGGCAGCAGCATTCCTTCGCCCTCGAGAAAGTATTAGGCCTCGAACAACGCGAACCAGCAAGAAGTCTTCAAGGGGTCTTGCAAAGATAACTAGTAGTGCCAGACCCATGACAGTTCTTAGTCTACCTCGCCTTCCTGAACCCTTGACACCCTAACATCAATAAAGGTATTCTCCATACTGTTCTCCATACATTCTTTAAGTTGCCAACAAGGAGAATTTGTGTAACAATCAACAACTTCTTTGGCTGCTGATAAGTTTCTTTATTTTCATGACCTTACTGCATGATTCAGGAGTGATGTTATAAGGAGAAATTAGATTCTAGTCACTCTTAGGGTTTTAAGGGTTAAGACTTTAGCCTGACTCGCGGGGGAAGAAACGAACGTGCCGCAGCGCTAATAATATGAAGGCCTGTTCGTAAGCTAATCCCTCAGTAACTCCTTGATATCTGGGAGGGGAGACACGGGAGAAAAACGACTGCACTGAACACTTGCACGGAACACTTGGATCAGCTAAGTTCAGAAAAGCAAAAGACAAGACATTTCTTTTCGTTTATAATTCTCTTTTATAAACATATCACCGCACAGCGATGAACCTCAATCTCAAAGACTTTTTTAAAAATCTTTTTCAATTCATTTAATTTTTCCTTCTGGGACAACAGCAAAATAGTTCGGAACGTTCTGAAATCCAATCCATTTCTTGAAACATTGACTTTTTCCAGTTTTTCGCAAGGTTATCATGGGAGGATACTTGCTCGCAAAGCTCTGTTTTATAAAATCTGTGAAAACACAAGCAAGAAACACACAATGGACGCCATACTGAGTAGTTTGAACAACACAGTCGGGTTCTAATTTATAAGAATCATTGCATGCAACTTTTGGGCTCGTTAAGGGGAGAAGAGGCACTGAATATGACACTGTTAACACTTTTTGGGGATGGAACAAGGGTTGAACTTCTCACGTAATACACGCCAATTCTTTAAAAAGACGTCGTTTACCAAACGTCACCCGTAACTAGTGAAAGCTATTCTCATGACAAAAAATACTCTTTCAACACAGCGTTCATTTCTGTTCGTTTGAAAGATTACCCATCTGTATATAAGGACACAAGTAAATAGCCTAAACGATTAACACCAGAAAGGGTTGAAGGGCTTAAGGCCTACCTCTGTTACAACGCCCGCGGCTATGGTTTCACCGCTGTAGCGCAGCATAAATCTTCCAAGATCTTTGTAGTCTTTGTATAATTCAACACAAACGGGTTTGTAGGTGTGAATTACAACCTCCGCATTTGAGTTCTTTGTTAAACATCTGAAGAGGTAAGGAGACATGATGAGAAAACAGTAGAACAAGTTTAAATTGAGTGTACAAAGTAACTCGGGATTGCCTTGGTTTTGGTTAAACTCAGTATGTCACACAAACGACTGCAAATAGTGTCAAAGTATCATATGTTCGATATGGGCTACATCGACGTGAAAATGTCAGTAAGCACTAAGCACTAAATGGAACATTGATTTTCTCGCCTTGGGGGTTACCTTTCCTTGTGGTAACTTACATAAGCTTTCTTACCTGGGTTTCTTTTGTAGGATTTCTCCCGTACTCTTGTGTAAAACGCTACAAAGCCTCTGGATGGTAGCTGGTTCATTTAACGTTTTGTAGTGGAACAATACCTGAGGACAGACGATAAAATTAGAACAGATAACTTTTCTTACCTAGCGAAAAAAGTCATAGAACATAGGATTCTTTTCATTGTTTTCCCAACGCCACTGTATTGGTGCCGTCCAATTCTTTTAAAAACTTTAAAATCTAAGAATATAAAAACGAAAAATTGTATCACGCCTTTAAGGAATCCCTCCAATTAGAAATGATGCTAAAATGTTCTGTGTGAGACGCTTAATGACCAAGGAATGAATTCTTCAACATCTGGAATAATAGACCATGTAAGTACTTGAAACTCTCTTTTGGGGCCGGAAAAGCTTTAAGCTAAATGTATCCTTAATGTATTCCAAAAAACCAATGTCGTTTCATTGACCAAGAAGTGGTTGGACAGGCCAAGTTTTACGGAAAACTACTCTCCAATTCGAAATGCGGTAACAAGCCATGTCCACCCTGGCCATAACATAAAGAGTTAATACACTGCTTACTAAGCAAGCTCTTCGTAAGTTTGGAAGTATGGAACAGAGTGACAAAATATGTTGCATTTTACCATGCCCAAAAAACCTTTGCCATTTATCCTTTAATGTAAACTCCTAGAGAGGTAGGGAAGTGAGGAAAAGTCTGATAAACTGAAGACCATGTCACACTTTCCTATTTACAAAGACCCCTCGTCATCCTTTATTTTCTTCTAAGTGTCAAATGGACTAACAAACTTAGCTTTGTGTTGGTCATTTTTTTCTTTGTTCCACACTTCTGCAGGTGTGAAAGATGAAAGCGACTGACAAACATAACGATTACGCCACACTTTTTACTCAGGTAGTCTTTTCATTCTTTTATTCATTCACAGTATCCACTACTTTTCACTCAATATTTTAGACGCCTGTGTTTATCGAAAATATCAGACTGTATGCAAACATGAAAAACAAGATGTGCTTCAGTAATCTGATCAGTTTGATATAACTCACATTATCATTTTGCTTTCCTTGCAGAAAGTAAAAACTGTAGCTTAGTTACAGGAAGTATTAACTGAATGTTAAGTAATCTTGAAGCATAATAAACACTCATGCGATCCCGTCAACGTTGCCGATTCTAGCATTATGCAAAGGCTTGTTATATGCGAGTCTTGAAATGGCCCAGTAACCACAGACTTCTCTGTCGCTCTCCAACGTGGCGCAACATCCGAAGTTCCAAAGCTCGATCTTTTCGTGGAGGACGCACAAGAATATTTCCTTTGCCCCGTGTTCGCGAAGACACGATCACCATCTTCCTTTTAAACACGCGCAATGGCTATCTAAGAGCTTAGTACTATTCGATATTTGCCATAACGGCGTCAGCTATCTGCGTAGGAGGGGTTAAGACGAGAAACGTGACCTGGGAGCACCCGTCACTGGAGGCATGTCTGTATCAGTGGACGCTGTTACTGAAAACTTTGTTATTTTTGGTTCATCTTTGGAACCTCTCGCACTCGAAGGAAGGATTCCGTTGAGAAACTGCCTCAAGCTCATTCATAACCTGATATTGTCAATAGCGAGTGTTTTCAGGTTTGCCATTTTCGCTCCTTATCTCGTAACCTCAAGAGAAGATGGCCACGATGAACATTAAAAAAAAAACGTTTCTAGACTACGGCAGAAACAATTTCAGAACGGATAATGAACAAGCGACATCCACACGTTTCGTATTTGCATATGAATAGAATGGTTTCCAGTTGGATGGCTCCTCTGTATTAACATTGAATTTTTTCATCTCTGACTTCAATTCGTAGAACATTTTTTAAACAAATGACACTGAATAATACAGTAGGTAAGCTTCGTGATATTTCATTTTGATAAACTTAAACCTGAAGCAAGTTTAATTTATTGATGATTTAATTCACGATAAAATGAACAGCATCCCAATCTTGGAGTTTTCATACAGGGTTGAAGAAATGTATCAAAGAAAAGCCCTTACGTTGTTTTAGGCCTTGCTCAATTAAAAGCGAACTGAGCCCTGAAATCTTGGATCCTTTGTTAACGATCGTATTTCCTTTCCGGAATCCAGCATAAATGTAGCGCTACATTTAAATACACCGAATAAAACAAAGGAAGTGACCCGGTTATGCTGGAAATGAGTTCTGAAATCATTCCAGACAGCATTATCTCATTTATAAGTGTACAATTTACGCAAATCCCAGGCGTTTTGATCGCGACAGGAAAGCCTGCGAAATGACGTTCTGAACTTGTTGGGGGAAACGGCAACGCTCCACACCGGAAGTCGAAATGTCCATACTATCGGCGCGCTTTCCCGTTCTGAAATGACGTTCCCGTCCTCTTGCTTAATCACTCAAATGACACATTTGCTGCCACAAATTCATTTCGAAAACAATTTTCTACTGGCAACCAAAGTGATTTGAGAATGAGAAAAGAGACGATTACTGAGTTATTAATAGGCTTTTGCGTAAAAATACTTTGCTTGAAAATAATGCCCGCAAGGAAAAAAAAACCGCACCTATAAGCAGAAAATACGGACCAATCAGAACCACTTGAGAAAAAAATAATAGCTGGAGTTTTCCCTCTACGTCGACTTTGTTGATTTTGTCAATTCCGTCAAAAAATAAATAAACGTACAAATACGGAATGAAGAGCAAAAAGATAGTACAAGAATATCCTAAGAAGGCTTGGGAAAAGGAAAGTGCATATACGAGGACAAGCTGGAAGAGAGACGAGGACAACAAATCAGCAATACACGCTCGGCAAGGGCAGCGTGCATACCCGAGGCGGAAGGGAGATAGGAACAAGAGCCTCCACATCGACATGCCTATGAAAAAGAGAGGAATTCAACAAAGGTGGGCTGTACGAAAACGTCCGACATTAAAGGCAAGCTTAAGTTCCGAAGAATGGATGAGGAAGCCAACTTGGGTACATATCGCCAAAACACACTTGTACCCTCAGAAAAGGGATAAAAGTGTTTTTTACAGTAAAGACCTTAGAGAAATTAGAGAACTCTGCAGGGCGACTCTGTTATATCCAGATTTGGAGAAAATGGATAAAAATAATCCAAATAGACTAGTGTTAAAAAGAAGGTTTAAGGACGCTGTTGGCGAGCATGGTCTTACGGGATGTAAGTGTTACGCTACGAGAGTTATTTATGACCGTATGGAAAATGAAGTGGTAACTGCATTTCCATCCTTGTACTGAACGTTCAGAAGACTAAGATACAGTGTAACCTCAATTCAACGAAGTGCCAAGAGACTGGGGAAACTCGTTTCGTGTACACTCTGTTGATTTTGTCTACTCTGTACACTCCGTTGATTTTGTCAACTCTGTACGCTCTGTTGATTTTGTCCACTCTGTACACTCTGTTGATTTTGTCAACTCTGTACACTCTGTTGATTTTGTACACTCTGTACGCTCTGTTGATTTCGTCCACTCTGTACACTCTGTTGATTTTGTCCACTCTGTACACTGTTGATTTCGTCCACTCTGTACACTTTATTGATTTTGTCCACTCTGTACATTCTGTTGATTTTGTCCACTCTGTACACTGTTGATTTCGTCCACTCTGTACGCTCTGTTGATTTTGTCCACTCTGTACACTGTTGATTTCGTCCACTCTGTACACTCTGTTGATTTTGTCCACTCAGTACACTATTGATTTCGTCCACTCTGTACACTCTGTTGATTTTGTCCACTCTGTACACTGTT